AAGTTAAACAAATTCTAGAGATAAGATATTTTATAAAAAGAGAAAAAAGAAATCTAGAAATGAGATATTTTGTAGGAAGAAAGAAGAGAAATCTAGAACTAATATGTTCTAGAATATGAGTTTAGGTTTAGGTTAATTTAGGGCTTTTGTTTCATTTGGGCTTGTTAGGGCATGTATCCCACATCGGAAAGATAAACAAAAGATATATAATATATAAGTTTGAGAAGGGAGCACCACCTTAAGGTTTAAGTCTTTTGAATAGAACCTAATATCAACTATCTAATTTTATATGATATCGGAATCTCAAAGAGATCCAATAATCTAGCAAAAATCTTAGAGCACAAGCTAGTTGATAATTCCCAAAAGATGGATTACGAATAAGAGAGAGTGTTAGAACACATATCTCACATTGAAAGGATAAACAAAAAATGGGTAATATATAAGTTTAAGAAGGGTCACTTGCCTTAAGGCTTAAGTTTTTTTGATAGAATTGTCGCTACCCGACGTCGAACGGCACTCCCAAAAATAAGTTTAGGTATTATTTAAAATTAGTTATTGATAGAGTTATTTACAAGTTTAGAGTCACCACTTAGTATTAAGGAACTAAGAACCTAAAAGTAACACTAGTTCAAAAATTCTTAAGGTAAGGAATTGATAACACTTTTAAAAAGATATTTAATCACGCAAAAGTGTCATTTCCGAAGAAAGGTATCACGTCTAGTTTAGTTCTAAATTTATCTCCTAAAGTGTTTTATTTATGTTAAATTATTCTCCAATTTAAAACTCTAATTTTTCAAGCCAAATTAATTTTTTTAGTTTTGGATGTGGCATCATATTGAAACGATCGTGGTCCCATTTCGTTAGTCGACACGTCAATTTAAATATCGGATCCACTTTAAGTCTTGACACAACCAGCGTGTCGAGAGAACATTCTAATTATAAGTGTTGATTTTTTGTCGCGGTAGTCCCTATTAGATAAGAGATTTCGTTGATAATATTTATTTTTTTATTTTTCTTTTTTTCATTAGCAAAAAAAAAATATCATTAGTCCCTAAAAAATTTAGGAGACTTGATAATTGTTTTATCAAAATAATTAAATAGCCTAATTACTAAGATCAATTCTAAGATGTGACGTTAATTAAATAAACTCAAAAAAAAAAACATCTATAAAAATTGAATCTAAATTAATAAAAATACAAAGGGGAACCCTACTATTCAAACTTAAGTAAACAATGAAAAGAAAATTTTATTGGGCCCCAAGCCTATTGGCATTTACCTTCTTCTACCCATTTTTTTGTCATTATTTTTTTTCTTTTTCTTCCTTACTTCTATTTCTTCATTTTTATTATTTTTATTATTATTATTTTTTGAGAGAGGTTGGATCTTCCATATTTTTTTTTTTGGAGAAAGCTGGATCGATTCCAACCTTCTCGTTTTTTATTTATTTACTTAGGCGAGAGGGACCTAGGTAAAAGGGCGTGGGCTGGACTAAACCTAGTCTAGCCCCTTTTGTTTTTGTTTTTTTTGTTTTTTTTGTTCTTTTTTCGTTTGTGGAATGGGCTGGACTAGGCTGAAATTAGTCCGACCTTTGTTTTTTACTCGATTAGGCTCCAAACCAAAAAACAAGCCCATTTCCTTCATGTTTTCGATCAAAGTATGGATTTTAAGCTCGTGAGCCTCTCTCTCTCTCTCTCTCTCTTCAATTATTCATGTTCTTCACTTTCTCTTTCTATTTTCTTCCTAAAATTCAAACTCGATTTTGAATTAAAAACTAAACAATTGAGGCCAATTCATTTCGATTGAACTAAAATCTAAGGTCAAATCTTCACACCAAGTGAATTAAATAGCAACAATTACAATGACAGAAATTTAAAGAAATGAAAGCTAAGAGAAAAAAATGACGGAAGAACAAAAATAAAACTCGACTCGAATTGTTTGTGATGATGAATATTAGGATTGATTTCGAGAGAAGTGGTTATGGTGGCAAGTTTGGGAAACTTGGCTAGTGTTCGAACCCAAGAATCAAAGCTAATAGATAAATTAAAAGTTACTAGAAAACCTAGAAGAGGATGAATCCCAAGAACAAATGCCCAAAAATTGTAGCAACCTAAGAAGCTTGAAAATGTTGGAATTTCATGATTTTTAACCTTTTACTCTTGATTTGCCTTTCTCCCCAACCACAAAACCAAAATCCTATGCAAATTAGAACAAAACCCTTTTCAATTTGTCTCAAAAATGAAAAACATGAACCCGAATTTGATGAACACCAACCCTTGTCGAAAAAAGTTCCCAAAAGCACGAGAGCCAAAAAGCTTTAAAAATCCCTCGAATTTTACTCTTTTTCTCTGTTTTCAACTCTTTCTCAACCCAGAATCTACCTATTTTCTTGTTATCACTTCCTCCTCGCCAAAACCAACCTTTTATAGGGACAAGTTAACTCGAATCTCTCTTCCAAAATCCATATGTTGAGATAGGATCCACCTATCAAAGTAGAGAATTTGCCTCCGATCGGACCAAATCGTGGCTTCGATCATGTTGAAGCATGATTCCTAGCTAGTATCCAATACAACTAAGGATTGTAACTCGCACAAATCAACCCGAACTTAATCCAAGGAAGATTTCCTTCCTAGGAAAGATTGAGGAACAATCCTAGGAGAGATTTCTAGGTTGGAGTAGATGAATGATAGTTCGCCAAGCTTTGGTCTTGTTGTTCGCTATAACATTTCAAACTAGTCCCTATGAATTTTAGTTATCCCCAATCAGAACCTTTTGCTATGTAATTTTAGTCCCAATAAAAAATAATTTTACTAATCGAGCTCTTACAGGATGTAATTTAGGTTTCAAAATTTTTTAGTTGATTCAATTGTATCCCTAATTACCTTAATTACACTTTCCTTTTAATTTAATTACCTCCTCCAAAATTAGATTTTTGTATTTTCTATGTATTTCTTTATATATATATACTTATTTTTTTATTTTTAAGAGAATAAATAAATTCTTAAAATAAATAGAAAAAATAAAATAAGAAAAATAATAATAATTAAAATTATGATTTTTTTTTTTTATGATAATTTGTCCCCTCTTTACAATGCTTATAATACAATGTTGAATGAAAAGTAAGGTTATGATTTTTTCAATGATTTTATTTAATAATCTTGTAAAGAAATTTTATTTATTTATTTAATGATTAAGCTTAAAAGTAAGGTTATGATAGGATGACCTTATTATAAAGGATGATCTATCCAAAAAATTAAATATACAATGTGTGGCCTTGTTGTCAAGGGCGAGCTTTCGTAGAAAATTAAACATGCAATGAGTGGCATTGTTGTCAAAGACAACCTATCCGGAAACATAAAAGATGTAATACATAGCCATGTTGTCAATGGCAGCTTATCTCGAAAATTAAGCATGTAATGCTTGGACTTATTATCAAAAGACGAGTGTATCATAAAATTTAATTATGCAATGTGTGATCTTGTTATCAAGGGTAACCTATCCTAAAAAATGAAAGATGCAATATATGGCATTGTTGTTAAGGAAAGCCTATCCAGAAAATTAAACATGCTTCTTCTTATTCATATATAAACAACTTAGTTTGCCACAATTATCGTGGACATAGACACATCTCACACCTATGTCCCTCACCAAAACAAAAGACTAACAACATATCATATCAGCATCCTAAAGCTACTAGCTATCGTGCCTCTACCAACACTCTACCACATCATCCATAGATTGTAGACTCGGGTGCCACTCATTATCTTATAGCAGACATGGGAAATTTGGCCCTCCACTCGAGTACACTAGACTTGAGGAGCTCATTATTGGCAATGATAAAACTCTTTCAATTTCTCATATCGGTCATTCTTCTATTACTCTAAATGAACATAATTTCCCCTTGAAAAATCTATTATATGTTCGTACCGTATCTGAGAATTTGATTTTAGTTAGCTCATTCACCAAAGCTAACAATGTATCTATTGAATTCTTTCCTACCTTCTTTGTCATTAAGGATATCCATACGAAGGCAATTCTTTACAAAGGGAAGAATAAACATGGACTATATCACCTACATTGGACTCTCTCTTCCTTAGGATCTTCGGCCAAAGCCTTGTCAGCCCCCTTATCTTCTTGGCATAATCGTCTGGGTTATGCCTCTATGAAGACTGTCCGTCAAGTTCTCTAAAATAACAATATCTCTATTTCAAATAAAGATGTTATTTTTCATGCTTGTAGTTTTAGTAAAAGTATGAAGTTACCTTTTTCATTATCTAGACAACCCCTTGAATTAGTTTGTTTGGATGCTTAGGGACCATCCCCGATTGTTTCCATAACTAGTGCTCGATATTAGGTTTTGTTCTTTGATCATTTTAGCAATTACACTTGGATTTATTTTGTTAAATACAAATCTGAAGTACTTAGTACCTTTATTAAGTTCAAAACTATGGTCAAAAAATAATTTGGTATACCTATTGAGTCCTTTCAAACTAATTGGGATGGTGAGTATCAGGCTCTCACTAAATACCTTGTAGACAATGGGATTACTCAATGCAGCTCGTGTCCTCATACCCTTGAACAAAATGGTTGTGTCGAAGACAAACATTGACGTGTTGTCGAGATCGGGTTAGCACTGATAAATCATGCTTATGTTCCTTTAAAATATAGGACCTATGTATTTGATGCTGCTGTTTATATGATTAACAGGCTTCAAACGTCTACTCTCTTATACAAGGTAACATTTACAGTCCTCTTTCAGAAAACTTTTAAACTTCACTTTTTGAAAACCTTTGGGTGCCTATGTTATACCTGATTGCGCCCATATGCTGTAAATAAACCTTCTCCATGATCACAAAGGTGTGTGTTTTTGGGATATAGCAAATTTCACAAGGGGTACTTCTTTTTGGCTCCATCTATAGGTCGAGTTTATGTTTTAAGGCATGTTATCTTTTCTAAAACTGAGTTTCCTTTTGCATTACCTAGTTCTTGTTCCACTTCATCAGATTCACCTATGCCAGCGGACACATTTGGCTTTTTCATTGATCATCTGCGCTGCCCTCCAGTCATTCTTCCATGGTATACTTCTTCTTCAAGAACTCGATCTATTGGAAGGCCTGGTGTCCTGTTGCTGTCCATCACCAATTCTCCATCACCACTACCCGTAGACCATTCTGCCTAGCCTATGCATTCTGCTCCCATTATTGCATGCACTACTGCAAATTTAGTCATGCCTTCTGCCCAGCTAGTCCATAACGCCATTCTCAATCTAAATCAGCAACAGCAGCAGCATGCGACCACTAGTCTTACACTAGCCAACAACCCCAAATGTTTAGGTATTAACCTTATAATCGGATCTAACAGACTCTATCATAGCTTCACTAGCTCCCCCACCTATTGCTACAACAAAGGACCCTTTGCCCCATGTCTCGCCACCGTACACTAGACATGAAATGATTACAAGATCCAAAATAGGCTCCTTAAAGCCTAAGGCTCTCTCTAGCTCTATTATGCCAAATATGGATCCACAAACTTATACTCAGGCAATAAAATCCATTGAATGGAACCATGTAATAGTAGATGAGGTCAATGCACTACTTGTAAATGACACATAAGAGTTGGTTCCAGCACACCCATCACAAAATTTTGTGGGCTGCAAATGGGTCTATCGTCATCAAACCCACAATGGTACGTTTGATTTTATCTCTTGCTATTTCGAAAGGTTGGGATGTTACCCAACTAGATGTTTCCAACACCTTCTTGCATGGCAAGATTGATGAATAGGTCTTTATGTGTTAACCTCGGAGGCAATCGCTATGTGTCTCAAACATACTCCACGTTCTTGGTTTTCTTGGGTCAAAGGCTGATACCTCTCTATTTTACTATCACAAAGGAGACGTTTTGGCTTACTGTCTAGTGTATGTTGATGATATGCTATTGACAGGCAGTTGCTCTATGTTTTTTAATTCCATTATTGCTGCCTTAGAGAACAAATTTGCATTGGAAGACCTTGGCAAATTGCATTATTTTCTTGGCATTGAAGTCACTTGGAAACCGCATGGTCTACTCCTTACCCAACGAAAATATATTGAGGATCTACTCCATCGATCGAACATGATGAACTATAATTCCTCTTGGTTGAAAGCTTAAAGTGTTGGTTTCAAGGAAATTTTTGCTAAATTATCTATATACTGATCACCCATACACACTGCGGAAGTAGCAATATTAAAAAAATATTTTTAAATTCAACAAAACAAAATATGTAATTAAAACTATATGTCTACAACACAAAAACCGTTAGGCTCGTCTCTAATAAAACCCATTTCCTTCATTTGGCCCATTCTCGGACTGAATATATGTCTGAAACTTTGAGTAAATTATAAACTAGTACTTCTCGTTTTATAAATAAATAATTAATTAGTCCCTCTTATTTTAAAAATTAATCATCTAGTACTCTTCATCTTTTGAAATCTACTTGTAGTTTAGTTCTTTTGTACCTTTTTAATTTATTTTAAATTTTTGTTTCAAGAAATAAAAAATATATAAAATATATAAAAAATTGATGAAAAAAATAACAAATTTTATGAAATAAAAATAATGTTAAATTAAACATGTTCAATATTATTAAAGAATTAAATAATAATTTTTGAAAGGAGATGGACTAATTAAATTGTTTTTTGAAACTAGAGGGACTAATTTATAATTTAATCTTGAAACTTTTCAATCGCTCTTTTTATCATTTTTAATTTATTTAATTTTATTAGAGTAGAAATGTTGGGAAAAAAAAAAAAACCCAACTTTCTTAAAGTACACTTGCTTACTGAAGAGGGTTTGATTATTATTATTATTATGGGTTTTGATTGTTTGATAAATTTAGTGGTTAAAAGTTAAAACTTTGAATAATAAGGACCACTAAAACTGTGAGAATATCTCCAATACTCCGAGAATATCTATAATCCGTACATTTAAATTAAACTACATGAGCTAATTGATAATTACATTAAATTTAATATGTTCTATGTGATTTATAGAGGTAAAAACATCATATAAAAATAAAAAATAAAAATCATATCAACTTTAATATATAATTGACAACCAATAAAGTTGTTCTCTTTAGTTTATTGTATTTGTTGTAACTCTAACAAACCATGTGTATTCGAGCAAAAAAAAAACAAAAAAACCGTAGTACACAACTACTGGCTAGCATTTTTTTTTCTTTTTCCTTTTTAATCAAAATTTTTTTTATTGAGGGCATCCCCTTGACAATACAAAGTTATTTGAATTTTTAAATTTTTTTTTTTTATAATTTGATCCTTTATTTATAAGTTTTTTTTATCCTTAAAGTTTTCATAAAAACATTTGGTCCATATATATATATAAGAGAGAAAGAGATAGCTGGGTTCAACATTGTTATCATTAGTTATTAAAACTTTGATATCATGTTTAAAAAATATATCAATTTAAAACTTTAAATTGTTATGTGAAATTCAAAAAAAAAAAAACTTTATATTAATTATTTTTTAATACATTTCATAAGTAAAAACCATTTAGAAAATTTATAAATACTCATTAATATCCAGTACAGAAACTTTTATATAAATTAGAAGAATGATTATATATATCCACGTAATAAACAAATTTTAGAATAATATACTGATTACTCCTGTCATTTGTCATAATCATAAGGTGATATTTCCGCTTCTCAATTGTCTTTACCATATACCTTTATCGAGTCGTGGTTATGTTGTATAGAATCCATGGAAGAGAAAGATCCTTGGGACTGGACATAAGGGTAGTCGCCTGTTTAAGCTAATCTCTCTCCAACTTTCGTCCCACATTGTTGTTGTTGTTTCTTTTAGTCTATGACATTCTCATCTTGGTCATATCTCCTCATCTAGCTAGATTAAGTTCTTTAATTTCTAGTGGTTGTTTAAGATCTGTTAAATCAGGACATTTTGGTTGTGTTTCATGTCAATATTCCAAACATCATACTTTGCTTTTGATATAACTGATTCTATTTCTTCTGCCCTTTTATATATCTAAAAATATATTATATATATTTTATCACCTACAATTTGTGTGGAAAAAAAGAAGCCATAATGATTGATTTTTTTTTATATATATATAATTCTCGTACTCAATTCAATAAAAAAAAAAAAGGGAATTAAAACAATATTTTAGGAAAAAAAAAAAAACCAGTGTAGGCTTGCGGTCATTAGGCCTGAAGAATTAGGCATGTGTTTGAGTTTGCTTTTGCAGACCAATGCAACCCAAATTTTTTTTAAAAATAAAAAAATAAAAATCAAATAGATGATGACACGTCGCTTGCATTAGGCAGCTATGTGAGTGATGCGTCATTCTCCTAGAACTTTTGATGGACTCGAGGTTTTTATAATCTTCGCTAAAGAATCGAGAGTAATTCTAAACATTCAAAACCCATATCCAACATTATTTTTGCCACAAAACAACTCAAAATTATTAAAATAAGGTCAATAAATCTCTTACGGGTGCTTCTTCCCTTTGTTAATGGCCGAATTGATTGCAATATTTAAAAGTGAGGATTGCCTGTGAATTTTAATAGAAGGAAGCAACACTTGAGTTGATTGACATAAAAAGCTCCTAAGTTCAGATACAATTGAAACAATAGGAAAGCCAGTGATGGTTAGGATAGAAAAAGTTATGCTTGCAATAAAAATACCATCTAAAACATGGAAAGCAAAATAATTTCTAGTTTTAAAAAAAAATTGAGAAGTCTTCTGGATGTTTCTTTTGTAGTATAATCATTTTGTACAATTAATTATTGTACTTAGTTATGACCTAGACCAGAAACAATTGTTTGACAAATGTCTAAAACAATTGGATCTTACCTTTTCAAAAGCTTGCTCCTCTTTGCTTGTGGAGGAGTGTTGGCTCCATTTGTTAGCGAAACCTTAGTTTTTGAGTTTACTCTAGTGCTGAAATTGACACTAGAAACTAAATCATATTTATTAACGAATAATATTATACACAAAAGAAAAATAAAAAATTAATTTGATGAATCAGAAAAAAGATAAATTAAAGAAAAAATTTATCATATGTATTTTATCACTACCAACTAGCGTGGAACATGAAAAAAACATAATGATTGATTTTCTATCATTCTCATTCCTAATTCAATAATAAAAAATAAATTAAAATAATATTATGGAATGAAACATAAGCAATCCCCCCCCCCCCCAAAAAAAAAAAAAAAAAAAAAAAAAAACCAATGTAGGCTTGCTACTTTTGGGCATGAAGAAATAGGCTTGTATGCTTGGGTCTACGTACACTTATTTTATATATATATAAACATATGAAAATGTGGCGCTTCTGTTGGGTAGCTACATGAGCAACACATCATCCATTTGCAACTTCTGATGGACTCAAGTTCGCCAGAAACTTTGCTTAAGAATTAAGAGTCTAGTTCTAACTTTATACAGGAAGACCAACTCATTGAAAACTTGGATAGTGGTAAAAAGCTTAGAACTTGCCATTTTCTATTTTTTGTTTATTCACTAATTAGTTTTGTTCGATGTTTTGAATCATTTCACTTTCACCAGATTTTTTTCTTTATGGGACACAAGATTAGACAAGCTTGGTAGATTGGTAAGATACTGAAGATAAAGTAGGACATTAAAGGTATCCTACTTATCTATATTAATTACTAAAGTCAAAATATTCAATTTCTAACTTTCTTATCGATGTGTTTGAAAATTCATTGGACTTTCTTTTGCATCGACATAGAGAAACGAGCATTATTTTGATTAGATTTAGTAAGATCTTCTAGCTATCATATTGGAACAAAAATAATTTCTGAGTGGGTTATCAAGTACATGCTACTAAAATTGGGTTATAATGATCCAAAATAATGGAAATTTCAGCCACTTTTAGATATTCAATACCAAACAAAGTGGCCATAAATTTTTATAATAACATTAAAAATGGTTTACAGTTCTACTGGATATTGACTCTAATGTGTTTTGTTGCTCCGCAATGGATTTGATCGTGGTATATTTATAATTAAGTATGGTGATTGTCTTACATATGAAGATCACTTTCAATGTCAAGTATTTCTTGACATTTATCATCGAAGATTACCGATCTTCGTTCCTACTTTGGTAATTTTTTATGACCTTTCAAATATATAAATACTTTTTTTATTTA